CCAAAACGTTGCAGTCCGGTTCTTGCATTACATGTCGCTTCTGGATAGTTGCTACGCCCTCCGCTGCTCCGCAACGTAAGGACATGCTTAGCAACGTTTAGCCTCGCGCTAGACAGAACTTACCTAATCACTCTCTACTAAGCTACCTACTTCAATGAGCACAGGCTTGTTCATGTAATGACTTTCGTTCTTGCATAATTGGCGATTTTAGGCAAAAGTTCAGTTTCACCTATCATGTTTGTTCAGGACAGTCTTTTCCAGGATTTTCCTTTTATAGGAATTGAAACACGATGAAAACTTGTTTGAAGAGGTTGTGGAGGCTGACGAAAGGGTGGTTTTGCATCGTGATGACTACCAGGACGACTGTCAGTGGCCGATGGTCGATTCGGTGTCGCTCGAAAAAGTGTGTAGCGTGTCATTGCTGTGGATTTGTGACTGATGCGCATAGTTTAGATGGAAATTTGGCAGCCTTTGGACACCACAGCTTTGAAAACAGACCTACAAAAGTTGTATAACAAAGGGATCCGTTCGTTAGCGGTGCTGTTGCTGTTTTCGTATATGTGAGCATCACGTAGTCATTTTTCTATTCACTGTTGCATGCGGGCTTGTTACGTGCTTTTACTAAAGGGTTTGTCCATCGAGTCGTACTATTTGGTAACTCGACAATTTTGATTGTTTGTCACCATACAGTTGTGAAGCTTAGCCCATATGGGATACCTTATGCTTGGATTTACTTCTGTCTAATGTCGAGTGTCATTTTCTGTTCAAAGGAGTGACCACCTGACGTACTACTTTGAGCAGTGTTATTCCGGCTGATATTATTGCCCAGTAGAACCTGGATCAACGAGCGAAAATTTACTTTCACTACTGCAGATGAAAACAGATGCTTTAACTTTTTGGTTTTGCAATTATGGTCGCGTCGCATAATCCAAAATATTCCCTTGAGTCGTTGTCTTCTTGCAGGAATGTATAGATTTCTATTAGCAAAGGGACGGTGCGATTATGCCTGTAAACCTGAGGAAGTGCGACATATATTTATAATTTTGCTAAATTTGCCAGACTTCAATCATGCAGATCATAAAGGATGTAATATTGTTCCTGTTTGCTCTCATCCACTATCCGTTTGTCGATCTTGCCGCAGACATAGCGTATTCTGTTCAGCATTTAGATGACGTGATATAAGACTCTATAGCATTTCTGAGGACTAATAGCCCTGAAATATCATGTAACGGACAATTTTGCCACGTAGAAACAGTTATGAATACCGAATTCGATCAAGTGCAGAAGGAAAGGCTGCACTATGGTATTCACATATTGCAGTGTAAATCATGTTGAATTAATTTTACGACAGAATGTGATCTCGTTGACATACTTTTGACCAGTAAAACAATTCATGACAAAAACATCATGTTCAGCTTATCACTAGTCGGAAATCAATGGTATTTTTTGATTTAACATCGCTCGCTGCCAGTTTCTAATCGCTCATCTACCTGCTTTATCTCTTCACTCTGGCAGTTCTTTGATGTTTTGAATCTAGTCAGTAGCCTTGGTGTGTATTTTTTGACTCCAAACTCCATACTGTGTTAGCCACCTCTGAATGCGAGACAAGAAGATGGTATTAGTGAAGACATGTTAATACTAATTGAACAAATTAACTTTAACCACTTTTGGTTCAGTTTCTGCAGGTAGTTTACCATACTGAAACACGAGTTCATTGTGGATTTTGTTACAAATATAGCAGTTGTCGATATTTTTTGAATCCGTACAATATTTTGCGCTCATTGAACAATAAATTCTCTCCTGCGTATATTTATTCAGTCACAGTAGTTTTATACGTTTTAACTGCAACCCATTTCTTATATCTCCTAGAATATTTCCTTAAAAAATGGTTAAGTGTTCCTTCTCCCGGATGATGGCCAGTTTCATTCAAATGTATCTTGGGGAGTTTAAAATGGAACGTAATGCATTTCCACTGATTTTCTAATTATAACTGGGATTTAGAACTAAAGGTAGCTTACCAAAATCAGAAGTAATGCCAGATTGGAGCGATTATGTTTAACTATTTAAACTTGTTGTTGTTCATATAATGATGATGACAGTGCTGATATGGTTATCTGTGATTTCCCATTAGAATTATGATGGACTGAGTTCTTCCACATTGTTGTGAACTACGCGTGCAACGATATTATAGCACTAGTTTTGCGTTGTTTCGTACTAATCTTCGCTTTTCTATGCAGATATCCTGTGCATGAAATGCAGGTGGAGAAAGTCGCGCGGGAGGTCGGTTTCGAGCATATCTCATTGTCTTCGCAAGTGTTGCCTATGATTAAAGCTGTATCCAGAGGTTTTACCGGTATGAACGAAAAGAAGACTCACTAATTTTTCTCACGCAAAGTTCTCCTCGAGTTTCAGCGTGTGCCGACGCATACCTGACTCCCGTTACTCGACAGTACTTACAGTCGTTTCGGTCAG